AACACCTCACTCGACCGCTACCAGCAGCAGGACGAGCATTCCAAGGCTTCAGAGATCTACAACTAAAAATAGAGGATGTCCCAACTGTGCCAATGCAAGCGCGCTACATCCCTGCCAGACTTGAAACCCGGGCAACACTTGCAGCACAACGCAAAGAAACAACCTCTCCTGAACAATGGCAGCAAGCTTTCAAAGACCTTCTGAATCACACATACCCTACCCACCACGAAATCTACACTGATGGCTCCACAAAAGACAATAAATCAGGATGTGGAATCCACAGCTCTTCATTTCAAATCAAAGCCCGTCTACCAACGGCTACATCAGTCTTCTCAGCAGAGCTGTACGCTATCTACTTTGCAATAAAATTTGCCGCTGAAAAACCTGGCAAATTTGTCATATTCACAGACTCCCTTGCCTGCATTGCCTGCCTTCGATCAGCCCGCCCCTCCAGACATCACCTGGTGCCATGGATCCAGAGCCTTCTCATGACTCTCACTCCAAACAAATTTTCCCTGGAGTGGGTCCCTGGCCACGTTGGTATAAAAGGCAATGAAGCTGCCGACAGGCTGGCCCGCTCCTCACTGGATCTCACCCAGATCACACAGGTGCCCCTCTGCTCTGCTGACACCAAACAACTCATCACTCAAACGTTTCACACTAAATGGCAAAGAGCATGGTCTGCACAACCGCAAGAACTCACATCTTTCAAGCAAATACTGGGCCCACTAGCCCAACATTCCCTTCCTCGTCCACATCAAGTTGCCATCACACGGATTCGACTGGGAGTCTGCCTACTGACGCATGGCCATCACTTCACAAGCTCACCCCCATACCAGTGCTCCTCATGTCAATGCCGGCTCACTCTTGACCACCTCTTCATTAACTGCCCTGCACTGTCTCCTCATCGCAACCAACTGAAAGCTGCTTGCATCCGCCTCGGAGTCTCCTTCAGCCTGTCCTTGCTCATAGCCCCTGAATTTCCTGCTGATATAATTATCAAGTACCTCCAAGACATCAACATGCTTGACAACATTTAGTAATCCACGAAGATAGCTGAATGGGGGCGCCAATACTTCAGTCGGTGACGCGCCTCATCTTAACCAAGAAACCAAGTAAGTGCTGTGATGCTGTCAGGGGTGGGCCGGTGGGGGAAACTCAAATGTTTATAAATCTTAACCCCTAGGCCCTAAACTCAGTAAACTGCATATATATGCAATAATGAAGTATCCAGTGACCATTAAATCCCAAATCCTGACCCCTAGTCTCATTACCCCTACTCCAGTATTGGTACAGTCACCACAGTGCCGACAGTGGTACTTCATGTCTGGCGTCTGCTGTACTCCTTAACTAGTATTCTTTGATTTCATTCTGTATGATCTGCTAATTGCAATTATGTATATGCAAGCAATCCAAGCACGGAAAACTTTTAACCTTAGCAACTCGACTAGAGCTTTCCAACCATTTCTGGAACAGCGAGATTTCTGCCAGATGAATTACCTCTTTATAAATGTTAATAAAAATGCACGATCGAGCCGCAAGATTCCAAATGTATAAAAAATTTGTCACGTTGAAGCTGCAAGATTTCAGAAACAAGTAGGAAAATTCTAATCTTGTGTATATTTATGTATTTGGCACAGTGGCACTGTCTATGAGTCTGAGATAATGAGACTATGACTATGAGCCATCATGGAAATTCAATTGATTTATATCCTTAATCCGTATTGATGTTTTGAAACTGACAATAACTCAATATTTCAAAGATTATTTACTCTACAAATTTACTTTCCAAATAAAGAAATAACTAATTTTTTATTTTTAATTGGGAAACATTTTTTATAACAAAGCTTCTGAATATTTATTTAAAGCTAGACAAAGCAGAGGCTTATTGATACTCTGCCTAGAGTGCCCTAGACTGCTCTATTGAGTAGTGTCCCTAATCCCTATAAGTACCTATATATATATATTTATATAATAATGATATTAATGGTATTATTCTTGATTAGGTCATTAAATGTGCTCAAATATTGATTATTTTGCTTTGTTTAATTTGCTGGCTTCCTTGTCAATTTGACCAGAACTGTTACAGGTGGCTGGGATCAAACCAAGAACTTCACTGCTCATCTGCTCAGTCTGCTCCAATGATACAATCTTGGTACTCTGAGCTGTAACCACTTGGTCACTACACTCTAACTAGACTGCTTTTTGAGTCTACTCCTATCATTTCTATGAGTTTACCATTTTATGGAGATAAGCATCATTATACATTATTTATATATGTATATATATATTTATGTATATTTATATGATTCATAGATATTAAATAAAATTTAGAACCAAATCATGAAATTACAAATGAGCTGGTCTGAAAAATCCCTTGCTGGTCATGACGCTAAGGTGAAAAGTCTGCCATTGCATGTCCTATTATACATAAATACCTACAGTGGTTCAAAATTTGAATACTACCATTAGTGTATTCACATACGGTATGCTAAATGCTATCTCTGGTAACAATTGTATAGTCAATGTTGATGCGAGAGATGTGCAAGAGATAATGCAAGATATGATTTAATGTATGAAATCATTATATTATGAGAGTTTCAAAATTCAAGGAATGCACTGTCCAAATAAGATGATAGAATAAAGATACCTGCACACTACACTTACAGGCTAATGTCATACCTTTTCTGTCTGCTGCCTTTAGAGTTTCATGTTAATATCAGCTTTGTCATTTATGAAATTCCCAAAAGTAGAAGATAATTACTGCCCCATCATCCATGTCCTCTGCTTTTCTAATTTATAAATTGATTTTTTTTTTCAGATCAAGTGATGAGTACATTCATTCTTTCTTAAGCTAATGTAAATCTTGGTTTGTGAAATTTTTTGTTGTGTGTTTGCCATATCCAACATGGATGGAGTGCTTGCTGGTCACCAATGTCACCAGTTACTTATTGCTGATGCACTCCAATCTAGTAAAGGTTAGATTTTTTAACCAGTTCTTAGAACAATAAGCTGTAAATGCATTCATCACCTTGTATAGAATTAATAGACTGACGTTCTAGCATCTCAAATTGCTGGGTTAACTTGTATGATATTGGCATAATATTTAGCTATTACTATCAAAATGGGGTAATAAGGGACAATTTTGAGTGTTTCTTTGTTGATAACTAACTATGGAAGATTTCATAATCAAGTTTGAGCTCCTGTTAAAGGACTTTGCGAGGGTTATTGTATGCCATCTCTGAAAAATTCCATATGCTATTAGCAGAGCTGGGCAGCGCTACTTGGAAATGTAGCGGCGCTACCGCTACCGCTACATGCTCTAAATGTAGCGGGCGCTACCGCTACCGCTACACCCACTAGATTGTAACGGGCG